TTGTCCCCAAAAAAAAAAAGACAGAGGACGTAAGAGTATGTGTAGTGCCGAAACAAAACCGAAGAGATTTGAGTCTAAGGACGCGTTTTTACAGGTCTGACTTTTGAATCTAGAATCTAAGTGAATGTGAATCTGCTCTTTTTCCTGTCTCTCAGAATAGAAGTAAAGAAGTAGAAGTAGTGTGTCGCGGAGGCGGATTACCGCGGTTTTTATAGTGATAATCGGAGGCAGAAGCTATCAGGGTGGGGTAGAGAGATGGCCTTTGAGGAAGGAGTGAATTGGTCTTAGTGGGAAAAAGTCTCAGCCATTAAGAAAGTTAAAAGACATCGTGGGAGGAGACAGTTAGTTTTTGGAGATATGAATATGGAAGGGCTAAAGGGTGGAGCGTGGGTGTCTCATAGTTTTAGGTGAATATATGATTGGCTGAATGAATTAGACGCGACAAGCGTGGAGGTGGTGGATTCTTGAGATAGAGAAATGTATACAAGTGGCCGGCTGGAAAAATCAAAATGCCGTAAATCAAAGGCTGAGATCAGATTTACGACTATCAGTGAAGTAAGCTTTGTTGGTTGACTGATAGGGCACATATGGTTTTGGATTGGGAAGATGTAAGTTTCAAGTTTTTAGAGCAGGAATGCTCTGAGTTGCTTTGTTTTACTGAAGGTTTGTTAGCGCGGAGTTTCAAATTTTTATAGCTAGGACGACGGACACACTTGGCGAACACTACCCAGATATAAACTTTAAACGAAGACGTAGATTTTTACAACAGGGCACTGTTTCCTGTTATGGAATTTTCCCGAATCGCCTTTCATTTGGCGCGACGGCTGTTCGCCAGATGGGTCTGTTTCCTAATTTATATTTATATATGTATATATTCCTATTATAGTTATATTAGGAGAATATAAATCCGCGAGAGGGAAAGACAATTTTGTTAGTTAAATCTGCAGGACGTAACACCCCCTGCCTTAGACAAATGTTGGGGCCGCCAACATTTGCCTACGTAGTGTATTGTTAAAATCGTATTAATTGTGTGTAATTGAGTGTAGATTGTAATATAGTCGATTTGATTTCGCAATTAAAATACTCATTTGTAGCTGATATGGTCCTTGAGTTTTCACATGTGTGTTGTTTTATTGCTAGTAAGCGCAAGGTGGCAGGCTTCGGATCCTCTTTCCTTTTTAGTCCGGTAGTTCGTGTTTCGGGTTGCAGTATGGTTATCCCTTTTTGCGGTTAGAACCTGCTAGGTTGTCTGCTTAAATATGTTATAAAATAATCTGGAAAAAATACTTCGAGGAGATTGACGCAATTATTCGTAAATCATCTGATAAATATAATTAGAAGAGCTTAATTATAATAATTCGTGTTTGTTTAGAAGGAGGAAAGAGAAGGCGACCACCAAAACCCCTTCCTTCCTTTTTTCGTCCTTCTATATATATATATGTATAGAGAAAAAAAGAAAATAATATTGAAATAGTATCTTATAAAGAAAAGGAAATTCAGTGTTATACTTTGTATCATCATTATAAATTATTATAAATATTTTCTTTTCTCTCTTTTTTTTTATTATTTTTATTACAAAATTTTTATTTATATATATATTTATTAAAATTATATATATATATATATTTTTTTTTGTGTATGATGTATAATACGATATATAGTATAAATGCATGTGGTACGTAATACAATATATATGTAACATGTAAGAATATGTGTTAGTGTATAAAAGCATAAAAGTATGTAAAGTGTGCGAGTATATAAAAGTATAAAAGTATATAAGCATATAAGAGTATATAAAAATATATATATATGAATATATAAAAAAAGGATATATAAAAGAAAGATATTATATATATATATATGAAAGTATATAATAGGTATTATTATAAGAGTATATATTCCTTATATTGAGGGAAATGGCCTGTAATTTTTGTTTGTTTCTATAGCGAGGTTTATCGCTACTAGGTCCCTTTTCAAGTCCGCGAGTCCTATTTGTCCGGGCCGTTCTAAATAGAGGTCAATGTCTGCCCCTGTTTTCCCTACAGGTCGCTTGATCACCATGTAACCTATTTCGTTTTCGGCAAGTAGTTTGGTAATCTCTATTGTCTTTTTAGCCAGCGGGCCGCAGATTCTACGGATCTAACCTCGTGTAGTCCACAGCCTATAGCCTGCCATGCCATTAAGTGGTATCGTTGCGGTAGGTTGTACAATTGTGTCATTGGTTTTTTAATGATGCGTCCCCAATCACCCAGGGTGATTACGGCAGTAGAACCACCGACATGGGTAATGGTTCCGCGATACCACTCGCCGCAATCTTTTACTGCCACGACGAGTCCAGTTTTGACTGCGTGCGGAAACATGTGGTACTTCTTCGCGTGTCGTTCCATCTTCCATTTGATCTCGGCTTGTAATTCCGAGACTTCTTCCCGGTTGAACTGGAGTTGTACCCAGAAGAGTGTGGGAGACTCCACGTGGGTGACATATACTGGAAGTCGCCCACGGCACAATTTCTCCGTGTTGATATGTTCTATTGCCATTTCTGCTAAATTGATAACAGTGAAAAAGAAATAATGAGGCTTGCAACGATTGACCTTTATGGTTTGAGAGTGAGAGAGTAAGTAGTAGTCTCCTTTTGAGGGAGTGAAGGACGAAGACTATGATATCCAGTGCTAGTAGTAGGATGTGGTTCGGTGGTAATAGGAGGATTACTAGATCCACCATTGAGTTCTTGTAACTCGGTGAAATCTTTATTGATTTTGGTGGTCTTCTTCCCGCCGATTAGAATTAATAATTGTGTAAGAGAGTCCCAGAGAGCTCCTATTAAATAACAGGAACACCCATATATTGAGTGTAGTGCTAAACCATGTAAAATGGTGTCCAGTAATAGTTTAATAAACCGAAAAATAAGGAAGATTCCCATTATTCCAGCACTAATGTTGCCGAAAATCAAAAATCGTCCCCAGATTTTGTTCCAAGTTGAAGTGGCTAGTTTTTCTAATGAAGCTTCGTCTAGAAGGTTTGTAAATGATCCTCCATGGATCGTAGCGCTGTGGCCCATCATTGCTCGAGCCATTGTATTGAGAACGGCAGGTCGTTCTGCTGGGAATAAGATATGATCTTTGAATTCGTCGAGATCCGATTGGCTGTAAATGCCGCTGGTGGCCAGTGCTCCAGGACTGGTGTATTTCCATTCTGGTTTAGTCATAGGTTTCAAAGTTGTTGGCGGAATGGATTTTATCGGATTTGGCACCATTTTGTACCAATCTTCTCCTAATTGGTACATCACAGGTGCTAAGAGGTTGCAGTTGACCTGTGTTCCTTGGCGAAGCAGTAAGTGAGTTTGTGGTGCTAAATAATATGTTTCATTTTCTCTTATTACCGGAAGTTGAGTATAGCAGTTGGGCGTTCGAGCTACTTGAACTTCCACTGGTACACATTTAATGATGTGTATTACTTCTCCGGCTAATATCGAAGTATAACCTGATGCTTTCATGAAATGATATGCAAATATATCTGGAGATTGAGTTGCTATCGCCAGTGCGTTCTGTAGCATTTTCTGCTTGAGATAGCATTGCTGATATAACATATTCCTGTAAAGCTGATTTAATTGTGCTCGGAAATGTTTTTCTACATACACGAATTTGGAGTTCATATATGTAAAGATGTCTGTGTTTGCCGGGTTGTGTATCTTTTTGAAGATACTCAGGTCAGTGAAGGTTTCAAAGATAAACAGTTTCGGGTGCTCCGTTTTTACTAAGGGGTAACCGCAGGCCTTTACCTCGCCTCTACTTGCTAGAGCGAAGGTAGTATCCTGTGTAGTAATAGAATATACCGTTTGGGATCCGGCGTCAGTGCTGTCTTGCATTTTGATAGCGTATCCGTCGAATAAAACTCCATAACTGCTCCCTTTGCATGAATCATCTGGTATGGTGTCCCAATAAGTATTTCCTCCTTCGATATCGACGCAATGTGCGGCTTTTAATTCGCAATAAACCCCTGATCTGAGCACCACTTGATTGGCGTTAAGTTTTACCGTTGCACTGTATTCTTGTAATGTAATCTTTACATTCGCTAATACTACAACGCTTGTCCAGCTTCCATAATCGTCGGTGAAAGCGCTTCCATAACATGTACCGCCATTTTCAACTTTTCCCGCCAAAGTTACTGGCCTACTTATAGTTTGATTAATTTTTAATCCTGATATATATGGGTTCCTAGTCTAGCTGTGCTATGCCAGTGCATACGTAAGCATTCTTGACGAGACGTTTCCTGAATATATGCGTATTTGCCATTTGCTACGTCCATGTATGAGAGTGCATTCCACATCTTCTTACAATACGATCTATTTCCACCTTGCATTGTCTTACCATTACAGAATGGAAATCGTTGGCTTGCAATAATTGCAATTTTAATTTGGTGGAGTTGACCTTCTGTGGCGGTATGTCGCATTCTTCGATAGTGAGAAGCGATACGGTGGTTATGTTGGATGAAGCTGAACCGCAATCATATCCGATTATTCCCTTGATAGCGGGAAGATATAAGGTGAGAATAAGCAGAATGATCCCACGATCATCTGAAATTGTGATTATCCTAATCATTAAACTTTATTCTTGTTTACTGGAATGATGTAAGATATCCGAAGTCTATTAGGATGAACGATACGGCTGTTCTTTTGCAATTTGATTCTGACATTATTTCTGTTTATTATTTCTAGTACTTCGTGTGGCCCAGTGTATTGATCTCCGAATTTTCCGGGTTTAGGTCCCTTTAATAAGAAGACATAATCTCCCGGTTTAAAAGTCTGAGGATTAATTTTTTTATCGTAATAGCCCTTAGATTTTACTTTAGCGTCAGTCAAATTGTCATTTGCTTGTAATTGCATTTTGTGTAATCGAGTAAATAGTTGTATCAAGTAATCATCATATGTTTTTATTTTGTCGTCTTCGAGTAATGGTTCGTTTGACGGCATTCTCGCGGGTCTACCGAAAACTAATTCGTATGGTGTGTGTTTAGTGCCTTCATGTATGCAAGTATTGTAATTTTGTATCGCTAAGTCTACCCATTCATCCCATTCCTTTTCATTGGTTGCGTATTGTTTCAAATATTCTCCTAGTGCGTGGTGAGATCTTTCCAAGGAACCATTTGATTGTGGATGGAAGGCAGTTGTACGAAACCTTCGTATTCTGTAGTATTTTGCTACTTTCCTTATTAGATCGCTGATGAAATTTCTTCCTTGGTCGGTGAGCACAGCTTTAGGTGGTCCAAAAATAGCGATAAATCTCTTCACAAATTTATCGGCTATTGTTGCAGCAGTTTGATCCGGTAATGGTACGGCTAAGCTGAATTTACTTAGTTGATCTTGCATTGTGAGAATATATTCGTTACCATTTTTAGTAAGTGGTAATGGTCCTACTATATCCATGGCAATTTTATCGAATGTCCATCCTGGAGTATCCGTTATTACCATAGGTTGTTTAGTTTTTACTCGGACCAATTTCTTTAACTGGCATTGCAGACATTGTCGAATATGACGTCGGACATCTGATTTCAGATTTTCCCAATAATAATTCTGACGAATTCTGTTGTATGTTTTAGTTACTCCTCTGTGGCCTCCTACTGGAGTGCAATGCATTTCCTGAAGTATTGCTTCGCGTATATCTCCTGGTGGATATTTGATCAAGCCTTTGCAAATAATTATTCGTATGGCTGAATCCAAGAATCCTGTCTGAAATTTAGTTTTGATATCGTTCCATGGTACATTCAGAATATATTCGCTCTTGGCTACACTTATACTTGCGAGATTCATACTCTCAGCAGTTTGTCGCAAATTGATTATTGCTTGTGTTATATATTTTTTAATATCATAGTTGGGCCTTCCTTCTGATCTTCGCTAATCGGTAATATAATGTGATACCTCTTGTTTCTTTTTATAAATTTTGCGATGCTTATTGATAGATTTGTAACTTTCGGCATTTCTTGTCTTTCGAATAATTTATTTCTCCATCATCCACAGGATTCCCTAAAATATGTAAAATATAGCAAATTTCTTTGCGTAGGAAATGTAAATCTCTGGAGTCTATCAAATTGCTTTCTTTGCTTTGTGATTTCGTATTAATTGTTGCAAGTGGTTCGCAGTCATTGTCTTCTTCGTCCGTGTCCTCAGGCAGAGGTTTCGGCGGTAGGTTTTGTTTCTTCGGTTTTACGACCTCTTCATATGGTTCGGCTGTTTGGGTCAGCTGTTTCGCTCGACTTCGGGTCATAATAGCCCGAGAGGCTTCGGTAGGTCCCTGTGCAGAATCCCTGCATTCAGTATTCGTAGGTCCAGGCATATGGACCAAGGCCTCCACTGTTTGTGTTTTTGGTAATTCCATTGTTTCTCCGTCGGTCAGTGGCGAAATATTCTCGAGAGATTCCACAGTCAGTGCGCGGTCGTCGGAAGGATGCGTGTCGCGAACGTTCTCCTCGGTTAATTCCTCGATATGTGGGTGATCATTTGTGAGATGTCCTTCGTGACCGTCTTCTTCGTGTGATTCTTCAATGTCGCTGTCTTCTTCAAGAAGGCGTTGAATAATTTCTGCATCCTTTGGATCATTTAGATTTAATTTGCTTCTTGTATTTATCATCTTGCAATCCTTTGAAGGTGAGTCAATAGGATTCCGTGACAATGCATCCGCATTTACATTAGTTTTCCCGGCCTTATAAACTACATCATAATCATACTCAGATAATTTCAATCTCCATCGAAGTATTCGCATGTTCGCATCCTGAGCGTTCTTAAACCACATTAGAGGTTTATGATCTGTTACAAGAGTGAATTTTCTTCCGTATAAATACGGTCTAAAATGCTTAACACAATATATTATTGCTAAAGCTTCCTTTTCGTAAGTATCATATTTTATTTCATTCTCACTCAGGGTACGAAATGCGTAAGCTATAGGTCGATCCTTATTAATAACTCCTTGAGATAGAATTCCGCCTATGGCATAACCGGATGCGTCGGTTGTTAAAATAAATGATTTTGAGAAATCGGGGTATTGCAGCACAGGTTCCTTACATAATTCGTTCTTTAGTATTGTGAATGATTGTTGCTGTTCTAATCCCCATTGGAAAGGTATTTCCTTTTTTAATAGTTGTGTTAAAGGTCTTGATAGTTTAGAAAATTCAGGAATAAATCTCCTGTAATACCCCGCTAATCCCAAAAATTGTTTAATATTTCTTGGTGTTTTTGGTATTGGAAATTCGTGTACAGCTTCTAGTTTTTTAGGATCCGGTTTCACTCCTCCATTGCTAATCACATGACCTAAATAATTGACTTCTCTGCGTAAAAATTGACATTTATCGGGTTGTAATTTTAAATTAGCTTCTTTGAGTCGTTGCATTAATTTTTCGAATTTATGTTTGTGTTCTTCTAGAGATGATGCGTATACTACAATATCATCCAAGTAAACAAATGCTTCCTGTCCTTGTATTCCCGATAAAACGATGTCCATTAATCGCTGAAAAGTTGCAGGAGCATTTTTTAAACCGAAAGGCATACGATTAAACTCATAATGTCCAAAAGGTGTGGTAAACGCGGTTTTATGTCTATCGCGAGGATCCATTTCAATTTGATGGAATCCTGAAGCTAAATCAAATACAGAAAAATATTGAGCTCCACCGAGTTGATCTAGGATATCGATTATATTAGGTAACGGATAAGCGTCTCCAATAGTTTTATCATTTAATAAACGAAAATCCAATACCATACGCCATCGCTTATTGCCCAATTGGTCTGCCTTTTTGGGTACAATCCAAATTGGAGTATTATACGGCGATTGAGAAGGCCGAATAATACTATTGGCTAATAGTTCTTGTACTTGTTTGTCAATTTCTTGTTTGTGAATTTGAGGAAATCTATATTGTTTTGTATTAATTGGATATTCGTCTATGGTCGGTATGCGATGTTGCAGTACGTGCGTCGAAGTCAGTTGTTCTCCAGGCAAATAGAAGCAATCTTGATGAGAATGTATTAATGCAATTATACTACTAATTTCGTTTTTATTTAAATGGTTAAAATCCATTAGGTCAAATAGTCTGTCTAATCGTTCGTCATCATGGTTGTCGGTTGAATTTATTTGGAGAACGTTTGTATGCAACTTTGAATTAATGAAATTGTTATTGAGATAAGTGGCAGTGTCTATATTGCACTGTTGTTTTGTTCCGTCGTATCGTTGAGTCAATGTTTCGTCCGTTCGTCAAGAAATCGGCTGCTGCAGGCTTACCAGCATTTGTAGTTGAGACTGGGAGAGCTAGAACTGTCGTATTGTTATTAGAAGCGTGATTACATTTAAATTCAATTGCATTATTTTGGTCGGAAGATTGTAAAGATTCCTGGTTACGAGGGAAAATTGAAAGATCAATTACTGGCACACAGTTAGCATCATTTATAATATTTTCATTTCTATCTGTATAATTCTCATTGCATTTTTTAATTTTTTGAGTTTTAACACTTTCATAGGAAGCCTTAAATATTCCCTCTTGAGTTTCATTAAATTTTGTACATATCTTTTCAGTTACATTTGAGAAATTATATTCTGAATAATACGATTGTATTTTATCGTGTGACTCTTCTTCGATTATATATATACTTTCATTAGTTTTTAGAGTATTTCCCTTAGAGTTATTATATATTTCAAGAGATTTTTCCTCCTGGTTACCCACTTTCTCCCTTGGACGAGGAATCTGGAAATTGTCTCCTTGGTCGGGAGGATCGTGGTTTGGATAGGAGAATTGGGAATTTTCCCTTGAAATCTTATCTAAGCTTTTGCCTAATCCTACAAGAAGAGTCGATTCGAACATTTTTTGTTGATTAATTTTTTCTTTTTGTTTAATAGGAGCATGGAAGGTCGCTCCTTGCTCCTTATTCTGAATTTTCGTCACTAGGCGGGGAAGTTGAGACTGATTCCCCTTTTCAAAATTTTTGTTTTCAACATTTCTTGATTCGACAGGGGTTGCGAGATTTTCCTCCGCTGAGTTAATTTGTATATAATTAAATGTACCTTAGCCGTCGCATGATGTCACATTTCGTGGTTCTCTTTCTTCGCGGTCAAGAATATGTTCCCCTTTATCTTTAGGTTTTTCGTTATCTCTATTATTCTCAATATTTCCATCTTTAATATCGTTATCCTTCTCGTTATCCTTTAAAATCGCGGGTCGTATATTGATAGTTGGTATTAATATTTTTATCTCAGTATCCAAAGAATTAATTACGTTAGTGTAAGCCTTACCGTCAATATTTTTTATTAAGCCGGTTGATTCTACTTCTACACTTTTTCCTATAGTTATCTTGGGTAAATATCCCTCTTTAATATGCGGATTTCCGATGCGCACAAAAAACAATGCTTTAGAGTGCGCAGGAATTATTACAGATTCTTGTGAATAAAAAGGAATTTTAGTGGTTAAGACTTCTAAGTGACCTTTTGAATAATCAATTTTAGCTTTAGTTTGTTGAAAAAAATCGTTGCCTAATATCCCACAAGATTGAATAGGAAAATCATCGGAAATTACATGAAAGTCGACAGGAATTCCCAAAATTATCTTGGTAATTTTTCCGATAGTGTGCACGGGTGAATTATTGATTCCGTTTAATTTTAATAAATGCGTTGAATCTAAGTCTGGAGTTCCTGAAATGCGAGCTTCTTTAATAAGGTTGGGTCCCGATCCCGTATCCAACATAAAAGTTTCAAAATAATTATTTCCATTTAAACTTAACTGAATAGTAGGCACGCAGCTTTCTTTATTCAAATTAATTTCTACCGGTCTAATTATTGGAGCTCGATTATTGTGTTTTCTGTTAGTGCAGTCATCACTGGGCGCCCCGATCCGTCGGCTCCCCGGTTCGCGCTCGCCGTCGGGGACCCTTGAAAGTTTCCCTGTTTCTTACGATTATTTTCGATTCTCAAAATGCAATTTTCTATTGTGTGCCCCGTTTCCTTGCAATATCTACATTGATTTGCTAAATCTTGTAGAGTTGGAAGTACTTTCCGATGACCGATTTTCGCGACAATTACGAGCACTATGTCTCGTTCTATTGCAGATTTGACAAATAATTTGGACGTTATTTCTCGGAGAATTTCTATTAATAACTTGTCTTTCTCTACATTGAGATGCTTGATGTCCACGTCGCCCGCACCATTGACATACTTCGTTATTAGGAATATTATTCCGATTAGGATTTGAATAACAATTCTTCGCGTTATGACCTGGTTTATTGCACATTTGACAAATAATATTAGTAAAATTAGGGGAATTATCTCTACAATCTCTAGAGACGTGACCAGGTCTCTGGCAATTTTGGCATATAACCTGCTGATTATTAAGTGAACGGCAAGTTTGAACAGTATGACCGGGTTTAGAGCATATCTGACATGAGACGAAATCGCTTTGTACGATTTTTACCGGCTTTTGTCCGATAGCTTCCCGGAATCTACATTTATCTGCACTATGGCCTCGTTTTTTGTAAATTTGGCAGACTAAGATTTCGATCCCCAAGGATTTTGTTGCATTTTGTAATATCAGTTTACATTTATCTGCTGTATGACCGGATTTTTTACATATTTGACATAAATCTATATTGACTTGAAAACCTTGCAACCCACGTATTTCGAAAATATCCCGTAATTCTTTTTCAATTCTTAAAGCTTTTTCTACAGTTGCGGTTACATCTAAATTTCTGGCAATTCTTTGCTCTATTTCAGGCTTCAGCCCTCTGATGAAACTGTGAACCAATTCATTTTCTAATGATGTTTTATAAGAGCGATCTATTGCTCCGTTATTCGTGGTTCGGTGTGCCTCTAATATACGTTTGCCTATTGCTTTCGTTCTATTTGCATATGTGAGTACCGTTTCATCGGCCCGTTGATAATTTCGTCCTAATTCAACTTGTAATTGCATTAAGCTTTTAGAAGAGCCGTATACATGTTTCAAAAAATTTGTTAACTGATTAATCCGCGAGAAATCCTGGTCTGGTACAGAATGACGAGCGTCGCCAGTTAATCTAGTTTGAATTATTTTAGTCAAATATTTTTCGTTTTCGGGCGGTAACATGGACTTTGCTAATTCGCATCCTTCTATAAAATATTCTACAGGTAGATTTTAGATTAACCATCAAAGAAAGGAACAGCCTCTACGGCATATCGTAAAGTAGCGGAAGAGTTATTTGTTACTACGTTATCGTTCATGGTTTCTGTGGTTGTAATAAGTTCTAAATTAGATTGTTCTCTATGATTGCCTTGTTCCGTAAGATCTTTTACCGTAAGTTTACTGCTGGGATCAATTTCACTTTCTGTGACAACCGGACGGAGAGAATATAAGGAATTATCAAAAGATTTATACCGCGTAGGTTCAGCGCAAAAACTAGTTTCTTCGACAGATACTTCTGCGATAGGACTCGGGGGTTTATTAGTTCTTTGAGGTGAATGAGTTATACCAAATGCGCTGAGAGAAAGTGGGCACTCAAAATTTTCCGGATAGTTGAAGTATCGACGTCAGATGTAGGAGCAGGAAATGTTTCAGTGGTATTAGTGGTAGTTTGTTGGTTGTGTGGCACGAATGGTGTAGATGTATGTTGAGGTTGTTCCGATGATTCTAACTCGCGAGGACGACGAAGTGGTGTATTCTCGACAGCTCCGCGGAAAGTTTTTTCCACCTCGTCTTTATCAGATTTAGACCGCGTATTCATACCCCTTTTCAACAGTCACTCTTATCATCCCGGACGAGCCCCCAAAATTTTGGTATGTTACGTCCTAGAGGAGGAACGCAACCGCGCGCGCTCGCCTACCGCCACTCGCTGGCTCCGCCTGTATCAAATGTCTATGTGCTTACTGCGGTCGCCCTCCGCTCTCTACACGCTCATTGGCTCACATGTTTTAATTAATAACTCGGTAACTATTGGCAATTTGACATTGTTGTACATGACTTTTCTTCTCGGCTACACCCAATCTATCTCCAACTTTCGTCTGCATGATCAGCTATCAAACACCCTGTAGACGCAACCCGCGACACCGCCTTCGGGGCCGAACTCTTGTATCCCAGTAAGCATACTATTACGTCCTAGAGGAGGAACGCAACCCTTTCGTTCGCGAGTAAGGCGAACCTCGTTCGTACACGCGTGTCAGTGAACGGGTCAGGGACCCGACGGGTCCCTTTATTCTGGCACCGACGTACGACGAGCGGTCCGTTTTTCGGTCAGGGACGCGAATCCCTTTACCGGGGATAGGACCATGAGTTGACTGTTGGAAGGGTATATGTGATTTTGAAATCAATTGGAAAAAAATGAAATATAAACAGATTTATTAAAATGAGTATAAAAACAAAATGAGTTACGGCGCGGTTTAATACAATTGATGAATGACTGTGTATATGTATGTGTGTGTGTATGAGAAGTGAAAGAAGGAGGAAATAAAAAAAAGAGGAAGGAATATGAGTAAAGAGTTAGTAAGCAAAGAAAATGTAACTTACTGGTGATTCCTGGGATGCGAGAAATGAACAAGATATAACGGTTGATAGGCGGCTCCTGCTCTGTAGGTTGGGATGGGTTGTGTGACTCCCTTCCAATTGTCCAATTATGGCACAATAGCACTGATTCTAAATTTTTATTTTTGTCCCCCAAAAAAAAAAGACAGAGGACGTAAGAGTATGTGTAGTGCCGAAACAAAACCGAAGACGAATTTGAGTCTAAGGACGCGTTTTTACAGGTCTGACTTTTGAATCTAGAATCTAAGTGAATGTGAATCTGCTCTTTTTCCTGTCTCTCAGAATAGAAGTAATGGTAGAAGTAGAAGTAGTGTGTCGCGGAGGCGGATTACCGCGGTTTTTATAGTGATAATCGGAGGAAGAAGCTATCAGGGTAGAAAGGGTAGAGAGATGGCCTTTGAGGAAGGGGTGAATTGGTCTTAGTGGGAAAAAGTCTCAGCCATAAGCAAAGTTAAAAGACATCGTGGGAGGAGACAGTTAGTTTTTGGAGATATGAATATGGAAGGGCTAAAGGGTGGAGCGTGGGTGTCTCATAGTTTTAGGTGGATATATGATTGGCTGAATGAATTAGGCGCGACAAGCGTGGAGGTGGTGGATTCTTGAGATAGAGAAATGTATACAAGTGGCCGGCTGGAAAAATCAAAATGCCGTAAATCAAAGGCTGAGATCAGATTTTACGACTATCAGTGAAGTAAGCTTTGTTGGTTGACTGATAGGGCACATATGGTTTTGGATTGGGAAGATGTAAGTTTCAAGTTTTAGAGCAGGAATGCTCTGAGTTGCTTTGTTTTACTGAAGGTTTGTTAGCGCGGAGTTTCAAATTTTTATAGCTAGGACGACGGACACACTTGGCGAACACTACCCAGATATAAACTTTAAACGAAGATGTAGATTTTTACAACAGGGCACTGTTTCCTGTTATTGAATTTTCCCGAATCGCCTTTCATTTGGCGCGACGGCTATTCGCCAGATGGGTCTGTTTCCTAATTTATATTTATATATGTATATATTCCTATTATAGTTATATTAGGAAAATATAAATCCGCGAGAGGAAAAGACAATTTTGTTAGTTAAATCTGCAGGACGTAACAATACAATAAAACTAAGTTATTTCGATTGCCATTATCAAGTGTCTCGCTGCTTTACTCCTCCTCGAATCCGGACTCCTACGAGCATTATCCGCGCGAAACGCGTAGCAGCGACCGAACCGCGGAGTTCGGCCGTTACAAATCTTCAATGTTGAATTAAAAATTTTTTACTTCAGCAAAGTCGAAATAATCGTCCGCCATATTGGATCCACTATTTTGAATTTATGATTTTTGAATACGGATTTGAAATCAGCGACCCCGAAAACCTACTAATACCAAATTTCAGTACATTTGGACCATTTTTAGTATTTTCATCCGCCATATGGACCCGCCATTTTGAATTTCGAAATTTGGACATCAGAAATGGAATCAGCGATGCCGAAAACCTTATATAATCATGTAATTGCTAGATATTTACATGTGTTTAACAAGATATGAATTTTAGCCAGTATCACCGGTCTCCTGGTTCACTGTGGACGGGCGCAAACCTCGTACGAAGGCCGACGCCAACATGATTTTGTACTGTCCTCCGGATACGGGCAAGACCGCGGCTGCACGCGCGGTCGCGCAAACATTGCGACTCAACTTGGCGTTCGTAAACGCTGAGAATCTTCTCTCCTCATATCGATCCGAAACGGAAAAGAACTTGCGCATCCTGTATGAACGTATGCGCGTTTTGGTTCACGTAACCGGCCGCAATGTTATTTTGCTCATAGACGAAGTGGATGGCTTGGTGAAGAATCGCAGCGGTAGCAGCGGCGCACCGCCTATCAGCAGCGGCGATTACAGCTTGCTCACGCGGTTTCTCACGATACTAGAGCCCAACGACGGTACGGATAACTACGGCGTAACGGATAACTTCAGCGTGTTTACAACGAATCGATTGGACAATTTGGACGATGCGTTTCGACGGCGATGCATCGCCGTCTTTTTCAGATATGTGACGAGTCGTGCGTCTTTGGCCCCTTTGGCCGGTCGCTTTCTGGCGGATTCGATGGACAACGTCAATGATATTTCGCACAGCAGCGCGGCCATGGGCGTTCAAATACTGAGTACCTGGCGACTTCGCTCGCTTCAAACGCGAATTCGTAAAACCCGAGCGCATGAGAATTTACTTGCAACGCATCGGTGTATCAGAGCGCGAATTTTACCTCCGAATTTCTAGCAGCGACGGCGAACAGGATGGTGGTGGTGACGGCGGCGGTGGTATCGATCAAACGCGTAGTGGAACGAACAGGGAAATTGTTCTAGACATGCCACCTCTCAGCATTGCGGATATCGTTAATTTAGCTTCACGGTACAAACCGATCACGCGGTCACACAAATACAACGAATATTTGGGCGACGACGACAGTACGCGGCACTAGGACAAGATGGAATACATTGTACGCAGAAAGTAAACTCAACTAATTTAGGCTGCTGTATATTTATCTTGATTCATTTATTAGAAGCGCAAGAAAGTTCTGAGCCCTAGATTTCATACTACTGAAACCACAATTTAAATTGCGTTAATTTTCCCGCCCTCTTGCGGTTTTAAAGCAGTGACATTTGGTCCTTCGAAACATCGTGCGATTTGGCGTTTGATGCATATAACCTTAAAATCAGCAGTGTTCACGATGGCAATAACAAAAGGGCATATTCGATTTTCCATCCACTTCGCGTTTCATCTGAAGAAAAATGCTGCTGAAGCCACTGAAATGATGTGTGTTGCATATGGAGAGAACGCTGTAAGTTATGCTACGTGTAAAAGGTGGTATCAAAAATTTCGCCAAGGAGATTTCAGTCTTGAAAATGAACTGCGTGCTGGACGCCCTCAAAAGATTGAAACGGACGAACTGCAAGCATTGTTGGATATAAACTCTGCACAAACTGAAAAGGAGCTTGCAGAGCAACTTGGCGTTACGCGACAAGCCATTTCCACACGTTTACATGGAATGGAAAAAGTTCAAAAGGATGGCAGATGGGTTCCGCATGTACTGTCTGAAGACAACAAAAATCGACGGCGTGACACGGCACTCACTTTGCTTTCAAGGTTCCGGAAAAAGGATTTTCTGCACCAAATCATTACAGGTGATGAAAAGTGGATACTTTATGATAATTCGAAGCGTAAAAAATCATGGGTTGACCCTGGTCAACTTTCGATATCGACGCCAAAGACCAATATTCACGCCAAGAAGGTTTTGCTTTGCATATGGTGGGAATGGAAAGGTGTATTGTATTATGAGTTGTTACAGCCGGGCACAGTACAGTTGAAACAGTAACGGCAGATCGTTATCAGCAACAATTGAGCAATTTGAGCGATGCGTTTGAAGAAAAGAGGCCATTTACTGGCAAAGGACTTCGTAAAGTGATACTGCTTCATGACATGCCCGACCACATGTTGCGAAAGTGACTCAGGACCATATCTTTGCGTTAGACTGGGAACTTCTCCCGCACGCGGCGTATAGCCCAGACATGGCGCCTTCCGATTACTACCTATTCCGGTCTCTGCAGCATTTCTTGGCTGATACACATTTTGTGACACTTGAAGAGATACGAAAATGCATTGATGACTTTATCGCCTCGAAGCCGGTGAGCTTCTACCATCAGGGAATTCGCAAGCTGCCCGAAAGATGGCAAAAGGTCATCGATGCAAACGGGGAATATTTCGTTGATTAATATAGTTTTGTTTGTTTTTAAATAGATTTTGAATTTTGCAAAAAAAGGCTCAAAACTTTTTTGCGCTCCTAATATTTTCAATGTATATGTAAAGTCGTGTAACAAGTAACGAGCTCTGCAACGTCGCGCACTTCGAGGTCAAGAAAGTTATTCCGACGAATAACTTCGACACACTCAAAATGTGGCCGTTGTTGCAATCGTAATATCGAAATCAGGTACTCGACTTGTGTCATGACCGACCGTGTCCTGGCGACAGTGGAAGCCTCGTTATTGTAGTCGTAAAAGTTATCGGCTCGATAGGTCGTTCCGTCGTCACAGAGCGCTTAACACTTTGCCAACCGAGTGGGGAAATCTCCTTACTTTGAAGTAAGTCACTCCATAACCGACTGGGGAAATCTCCCACCTTTCTCTTAGCAACTTGAAGAAATGCGCGGTAGAAAGCGTTGAGTTAGCTATGGCGCGGTTGGCGAAGTGTTAAGATATTTAAGGAAAACTTTTTCAACATTTAACTTACGATATCTCGCTAGCAATTTATCGCAAGAAAAAGTGATATTAGACTTTTTACTCTATTTAATCCGTAGAATATATTGCTACAATAGTGTCCCAATTTTTATTAACTTATCAACCTTTGGAAATTTCGAAATTATTAAATTAACAAAAAGTCAGATCACTATTGTAGCAATATATTCTTGATTTTAAATGGAGTGAAAAAGTTTAGTACTACTTTTTCTTTCGACAAATGATTAGCGAGATATAAATTAAATGTTGAAAAAGTTTTCCTTAAATATCTCAAAAAATATTAGGTAAATAAAAAAATATTTCAGACAAAAGTTGCTCAAATTAATTGGTAGAAAAAGACAATATAATAAAAAATTGGAATTTCTGTCTAAGAAAATTAATGATCAGTAAATATTAAAAAAATGGCACCATTTGTAAACAAAACATTATCGCTATCTTATGTCCCCCTTTAAGCCATATAATTTCTGTTTGAAACATTTTTCCATATTTGAAGCCATTTCCGAAATCCAGGGGGAAGTCAAACTTTAGAGATACTCTACAATAGGAGTTTAGGATGAAACAACCTGAACATATACGCCTATTTGCGTTCCGCAATTATTTGGATATTTCCTCGCGATCATCGCTACCGCATTTGCTGCCGATATTTTGATTGCGTCTGTTGCTTCTTATTGACGTGCGACCTATTTTTAAACGAAAAGCGAATACTTTTTTGTCCAAAACGTAATCAGATCTCTCGACTGTGATGCCGGTTCGCGCGTTCAATTTCTCGACGTCTCACAGCCGACGATGGGCAAGAATTCAAGTCTACCATATATGTAGTTGCGTAACCATGGAGATTGCACGAATTGGAGTATGCGATGAATCTTTCCGATACGAAGACCATAGCGTGTGTACTGCAGCAGGTTACGATAATGAATAACATAACGCTGCTTATTATATAAAGTCGCAAGGAGTTTTTCTTGCCGTTTGTTCGGGGGCTTCGTTCGCGTCGGACAGAACGGTAGATCTACGTGTGCATCATGCAAGTGTTGGGGATATTCCAAATCAACCTCGAAAATATTGACAATATCGACAATATAACCTGTGAGAGAATCTAACGGGATTGATGATATATCAAAATTCGACGTATCATCAACCCACTTAAATTCAGCGTATGGTAACGGTTGACACATTGCCTAGCCATACAAATTATTTATATCAAAGTACATGAGGTATGAGGATGGCTTCGATAGGTCAACATCGCGTCCCACGTGAAACCTGGCAATGTGTAATAATGCGCGGGATCTAGACCGTAACTTTTGATACAACTATCGCGGAAATTTTCGAAAATATCAGCCAATAACAAAACATCAGTCTTCAGGTACAAATCACTATATTCGCCTAAGGTGTGAATAGAAAACCGTTCCCATACGTTCACGGCGTGTGTGTAATCGCTCTCAGATACTGTATCACCTGTCAGCGAACTGACATAGAATAACTCGCGCGGTGGCAAACATTGATCCTGCAACTTGTCATTGCAATCCACATATTCATACGGAAAGACACCTTTTCGCGTTAATAAATCAAAATCTTTGTTGGATAAGTTTTTAAATTCTGATTGAAGACTTTTTAATTTGTCTCCAGTAAGAAACGATGCTAATTTATCTGGTAGGCCGGCCGGCATACATGGACAGCAGGTCTTAAAAGGGTAGCAACCTTTGACTTTGAGAGACTGTCAGCTTGTACCACCAGGTACAAGTAACAATGCCTCTCTCTGTAGTCGCCGTGCGCTCGGGATAGCACTAGAGATGTCGCTTCCGAACGACATCTCTCAACGTTATCTGGGGAGGGGAGAGTGTCGTGAGCGTGGAGCGTCAGATAGCTCAGTGGTCTAGAGCAGTCGCCCGGCAAGCGAAAGACACGGGTTCGATTCCCGGTCTAGCGACTACCGCGCTCTCGATATTTTTCTCTCCTCGGAACGAAAAATGAGATGCAGGTCCCGAACGCACGGCGTCCCGTCGCCACCTAGTACGCCCTCCTTCTTTCACGGAGACTGGTACTGAGAAATTTGTACGAATCGATGAACCACAATTTAATATGATTTCGCCAGTCTGATGTTTTACTTGCTGTATCTTTAATATATAGTGTGACGTGGAGCCGGGAAGGCGCCCGTCCCAGGCCGACCCTTCGGCCCTTAGGCGAGACTTTCGGGGGGGGAGGTGTCACCTTGCACTCCCCCCCCGTAATAATTAGTGTCAGCAATCGAAGCGTGCAGGTGGAACGGTCCCGCGTCCCCAAGCTCTGTGCCCCTGGATCTCCCGCGCCGCCCATCAGGACCGAAGGGACAGGGGGAGGAGGAAAGAGGACGACGCTCTCAGCTGGACCGCCACCCCAGGTGAACGCAATCTCTTTGCAATGCTATTATCGGTCCCGTATCGTTGCGAAGGGTTCTCGCTGCCGTTTCCGTTGTCCACAGGCCTGCAAGGATATCGCGCCGAACGGTCGGCGTCCCCGTGCTTGGCGCGTGAACGCCGGCTAGACAAAGCCAGCCAAAACACAGAGACCGGGCGAGTGTGAGCAAGGGAGAGAGAGGGAGAACGAGCAAGAGAGTGAGATCGAACACCCGTCCCGCGGATCGAAAAACAAAGATCCGCGGAAGGATTCCCGTATAGGGGGATTTAACGAGGAACGGGGAAAGACGGGTAGCACGAGACAACACAAACTGACAAGAAAACCTGTCTGGAGAAGAAGATAAAAAAGGGAGACTCCCATTGTCGCTCTCTCTCATATCGCCGACCTGCTTCCGAGTATTGCCGGAGGGATATCGACTACCGTAGAAAAGGAGATTGGTGAAGTTTGGCGTTAGCAAGTGGAGGAATTCGGACGTCCCCCCCGCCCTAGTAGGGAACGTCAGTGGCAGCGTTGCGCCAGCGCGAGCGGGCGAAGGAGAAAAGCGGAGGACCACGTCGCCGGGAGGTTCCCGATTCTGTAAGACCTTCCACCTGCGTTATTGTTTCGGTGTCGTGAACGTAAAGAGTCTCGTTAAAGTTATCGGCGTAGCGCAAAGTCTCGAATCCGTGAGAACCAAACTGAGTGTACCGTATCGAGGGGTCGGACCGTTCCGACCCCTGAAATAATAAAACTGAAGATAGTCAAAGCGCGCCTCGTTGTTCGTGTGTTTTCCCGGTCGCTCCCGACTTCCGACGAACCC